AACCCAGCCTCTGCCTTGGATCTGATAATTGTCTCGGAGAAAGAAAATGTCGCTAAGCACGGTCAGCTGGGGAGTGGCTTCTCATATCACGATATGATCTACGTTTCAAATAAAATTAAGCCTTGGAGAAGAAGACCGAAACTGAGCGATGAACCAATATGGCAGAAATCTGAAACCGAGGCAGCACTGGCAGAACAAAGAAAAGCATTGTTCGTCTACAAGCAGAGTGTTCGAGGTGAAAGTGATTTAATTAAGTATAGGAACGGACGAAAAAGTATTGAAGAAGTTGAGAAGGAGTTTCAACGTGAAAATGGTAAAATACAAAAAATCCAACAGAAACTTTAATACTAGTTAGATTTATTTTTTTTATTATTTTATTGTCTTTACATTGTGTTTCTACAATAATTGATTTTCAATATTACTTTGTAAGAATCTTAAGTTCTCTAAAATTCGTTCGTTCACGAATTTATTATTTTTTAAGACCATTTATTTTTTTATAAGTATTCGTTTAATTTTCAGTGCCATTACTCAGAAAGTAAAAAATATTTAAAAATTTTTATACACTTTTAAGATATATTGTGTTTGTAACAATTATTTATTCTGTAATGTGATGTTATATTCGTAAATTACTTAAAATTTACTTAAGGAACTGAATACATGTACTTTAAAACTTCATAGTTTTTAAATCTAGAATTAATATTTTAAATGTTTTATTAAAATAATTAGCAAAATAGTTTATTTATAAAAATACAAATATGCTTACACGGATAAATATAAAATAATATAGAAACTTAAGAGTATATTTTTTGTAAAAGCTTTTATGTTTTTCCAATGGTTATTTTCTCAGTTACATTTCCACCTCAATATGTTAAGTTGGTATCCAAAAGAAAGTTTATCGGAGTAAAAATTCGAAAGAAAAACATTAAAGCTTTGATTTCACGAATTATTTTAATAGAAGACTGTAATTTTTTTTAAATTTAGGAACATAGACATCAAAATCCTAGTGTATTGTGGACCAAAAAATGAAATTAAATATTTTAAGAGAATTTTACAATTCTAGTAAATTATTATTATTTATTGTATTAAATAGTTTAACTTTTACTGGTAACAAACCGGCAAAGTTATTAGTCTTAATAAATATTAAATTATATCACTTTATTCCTTTTATATCGTTATTATATCGTTTTACAATAAGCATATAATTAACAGAACTTTGGTGCTAGAATGAAGAAAAGTAGATTTAAAATATGTTATTAAGCAAAAGTCTTACAGCCTTACAAATAAACGCTATATAAAGTTAAACTTAGGAATAAACTAAGTACATATAAGCAGTTTTTTACTAATTTTTGCTTATATTCAGTTTATTCCTAAGTTTAATTTAATACCTCGTTTATTTGTGAGGCTGTTATAATTTATGTATTCTTCTTACATTCACATTTGCTTATATTTTTCAGTCTTCATTCCATTATGTTCCGATTAACAACTAAAAGAGTTTATTTTAAAAGTCATA